TTTTTTTTTTTTTTTTTTTTTTTTGGAATTGGGTTTTGCAGTGTTGTCAAGAATTTTGTTTTGTGGCAGAACTCAGAAGACAAGTTTTTTTACAAATAAACAAATTGTGCATCTTGCTTTGTGACACAATTTTTCATATTAAGCTACTTGCTTTAAATATTGTTCCCTTAAACAAAACCCATCAAAAGTTAAGGTATCTACTGTTTTGACTGATACCACTGTAAAATTTGTTTCATTCTAGACATAGAAATAGTTTCTTATCCACATTTTATAGTACTAGATTACTTACACTACAAAAGGTAATGCTGTTCATTGCCAGTAAGTAAATTATGTGCAGCTGAACGTGCTGTTACTTACTCTGGCGGTTGGGTTAGAAAGGGATCAAAGAGGATAATGTAGGGTTTAAGAAAGACAAATAAAACATTAGTAAAACTGCTTTAACTTAGCAACTACTACTTGAAATGGATGATGTCACAAAGGGACACTTCAAAAACATTTTGATTTTTGATAAAAATTATTGTGTGATCAGACTGATGAAGAAATGAACCTGTTTGTTTAAATGTTTTTGCTCATGTCTGTTTTTGCAGTGCATTTGCAGAATTTTGTAAATTAAGTTATAACAAAATACATGGTGAGAGCTGAAATGAGTCCAGCAAAATTGTGTCTTTACAGTGTGCACATTCTTAATGAGCGTCTCTTACATGTTGAATAAGAAGATGCCTTGTGCTGACTTGTGCTTTTGTTCTTCTCAGTGTGATTAGAAAATGTAGATTAATGCAAGGCTAATATATCTGCATTCTGTGACACATATCTGGCTATTTAGAAAAACAGGATATAGATTTCAATGAGCTATATTTAGCTATGGTAAGGCCTTTTTAAAAGCTGCCAGGAAAATTTTTTAGAAAATGATTTCCTATTTTGTAGAAATTTTAACACCTGTTAATTGCGGTTGCTTTTTTTCCCTTCTCGCTGTGTCACATTAGACACCCTGGTTATCAAAGTGATCATATCGCTATGGTATGTCTCATAATTATGATCAAACCGTTATCTAACATTCCTGGAGCATTCTTTTTTTCAATACTTAATACCTTTTATTCCTTGGCCTCATGCATGAATTATGCTGTGTATGTGAAGAGGCTTAAAGTTTGTTTCCATTACATTCTTTCTGAATGGATCCTGTTGTATCTAGGATTTTTTTAAAGCCAAGTAGGAATGTTATTGTTGACCTTGACACCAGATAACTGGGCAGACATTATATAGCTATGTTTGAATCCTCACAAAATGTGATGCTAAAGCCAACAGAATCCTGGCGAGAGACCCTCCTGGACAGCAGAGTTATGGAGCTTTTCTTTACAGTAAGTTTCTTTCTTCAACTTTCGTAGTCCAGACCACAGGGAAAGCAGCTCCTTCCTGTTCTAAAACTGTATTGTCGGACTCTTCCTTTTGCATCAGGTAGGACTGATTCTGTTCACTTCAGCTTGCTTATCAAAGCAGAGAGAACTATTGTCTTTTTCCTAGGGTACTGAATTTGTATTTTGCCTTTTAATTGCTTTAAATTGATGATGACTGGCAATAAAAAAAGGTTTATAGTTCTCAACTTTTATATGTTTAATACTTCTGGACATGTATTCATCAGACAAAAGCAAGCACAATGAGCAGTAGTAGAATAGTGATCTTTCAGATAAGGTGTAATGGCTCTCAAAAGATCAAGCAAGTAGTGTGTGTTTGCTGATATTAAAGCATTTGCTCAACAGAACAGCTGAAAATAAGTAATGTAGTTGTAGTTTTCTAGCCACTTTCAGCATACAGAAATCTGCATCTCTTTCCTCAGCACAAAGGAAATCCACAAAAGTTAAAATATAATTAGTTAGAAGAAATAAGGAAGAAGTAGTGTTGGGAGAGTGGAATGTAGCTTAAGCTCTGTAACTTAAAAGCCCCAAAACGTTAAAAATGGATAGAACTTGTTTTGTTTTTACAACTGCTGGGAGCAGTTTGTAATTGTTGCTCATCTAGGACTTTTTGCAGCAGCAACATATATTGGCTTATAAATTCATTTGCTATGTAATTTGACTTAGGTTACATCTCTTGGGATCTGAGAATTCAGTGTTCTCTGGCTTTTTTTTCATTTTTGCAAAGCAGAGAAATGTGCTCAAAATTTGGACAAAGTTGTTATAAGACAATGTAAATGTAACTCTCCAGTGCTGCTTGACAGTATGTGTTTGGATACATGTCCTTGCTTGACAGGATTTTCAATGAATTTAAATCATTTTTACTTTTTTTTACTGCAAGTTTATCCAGCAGTTTTGAAAAGGTGAAAAAAATCACTGGCAGAACTCTCAGCAGCTACACACAATCTGAACAGCTGTCTAGACTATCCAGACAGTTGCTACTGTCAGCTGTGAACCTCCACATGCAAATAACTTTTTGGCATACGTGTTAACCCTTCTTCGTTTAATTGTATGAAGTTGTCAGAGTTGCATATCTGTTTCCTTGATTGGTTTACAATTACTTATTTGGGATAAGAAAAATATTTTAATCATATGCAGAGTTGTTTTAATACATTTGCATTTTACTCAATAGCAACCAAGGCTCGCCTGTATCTTATTTCTGAATGAATGCTAGCCAGGGCAGTATGCTGTCAGTTCTGGTTTTAGATTCCTGATTTGCAGTGGTTGAGGCTTGCAGTAGTAGTTGGCTATTTGAAGTAATGTAAGTAAATGGTAGTAATTTTTATTCATTTATCCGATCTGAGAAATTTTAATGACCTTGTGAAAGTTGCCAGGACTGCTGTGTTAGAGCAAGAGCCTTCATTTCTAATCTCAGCCTCATGTGTGTGACATATATTGGGAGGGGTATTTCTGTTGCAGGGTTTGTTTCTCCTGCTAGTTTGATCTTTCAGGGATTAACTGTGTATCTAATTCAACTAGTTATGAGTTGGGTGAACTTGCAACTATAACACCACAGAAAAATGGTTAGTGTTTTAACTGTACTTTTTGGTATAATATTGCTGGAATAATTTAGCTAAATTTCACTTCTGGGTGAAAAACCTACTCTGTATTCGTTTATTAAATCAATAAATCTGTGAAAAAATAGGCACGAGCATTAATTTTTTTTTTTAAAATCTGTACTTGACCAATTAAAGTAAGAATGTGAGCTTATGTTTACTGAACTAGTAAGATTCAAATCTAGAAAGTCTCAACAGCAGAAATTATGACATAACAGTTTGCATAAATGCGGGAAGATTACTGTTGGCCTTGTATAATATAAGGGTGTTGCCAAGGAAGTGATGCATTCATTTTTGTATATGTCTTCAGTGTTTACCTCTGCTAAAGAAGCATCTATATAATCTTGATTGAACTTGTTGACTAACTTTAGCAAGACTCTATAGCCTAGGCATAGTTAGCATAATAGAGATGACTGTCATTATTGCTGTTTTTAGAAGGAGCAAGCATGTCTGACTGGCTGGCATCTGTTTCTCTCTTTAAGACATAACATTCAATAGACAGTTCAATTTTCAACATGTAGGTGAGCCTTCACTAAATGTTAGTTTCAGTGAGTTAATTCAAGGCTTGAGGTTGTGTGAGCTGAGTCACGATCTTGATGTTTGACATGGTTTAGGGAGTTGCAGAAACCCTTGTATTTCAGCCTGAGTGGAAGTTATAGTAAGCTTTTTTTGGTGTGTGCTCTTTTGGATTGAGAGCCATGTGACTGTTGTAAGAGCACCCTGTTTTCATGTGTTATTAACTACCTCGCTTCCTGAAAGGTACATAGAAAAATCAGAGAAGATACAGATATGGCCCAAGATTCATTACAGTGCCTGGCACAGCTGGCATCTTTGCATGGGCCAGTCTTTCCTGATGAAGGTTCACAAGTTGATTACCTGGCACACTTCATTGAGGGATTACTGAACACTATCAATGGGTATGTATGGCTGCTCTCTAAATTTAGATGGCATCTTTTAATCTTTAGTTTGGACTGTAGCATATCTGTGTGGAGAAGTGGTATGGCTTGCTTATTTCTGGATATAATTTGTGCTTACTGTTGAATTGCTTAAATTGAGAAAGGACAGATTAAAATAGGTGGTGCTTATTATGAAATAGATTTATTGATTGAAAATGTATCAACAAAAGCAATTCCCTTTTAGCAATTTTCTTAATGGCAAAAACCTGCTGTTTCTATCTATAGAATTGAAATAGAAGACTCTGAAGCAGTGGGAATTTCCAGTATTATCAGCAATCTGATAACTGTATTTCCTCGCAATATTTTAACGGCCATTCCAAATGAACTTTTCTCTTCATTTGTTAACTGCCTCGCACACCTCACTTGTTCTTTTGGAAGAAGCGCTGCCTTGGAAGAAGTGGTAAGTAGCTGCTCTCAAAAAAGTGTGTAGCCTTTTTCACTTCAATTTGTGATAAGCATAAGGGACATGAGAATTTGGCTATTTTGTTAATAACTGTTGTGAATTCAGTGATTTTGTCCTAGATATTTCTGAAATCACACATGAGAGGGTTTTCTTTTTATTTCACGCAATATAACGAATATAATTACACGCTGTGTGCATCTTTCAGGCGCTGTTTTGATTTCAAGTGCATCTTAATTTTTTAAGTGAATGGATTAATTTAAAATATTAAAGTCCTAAAGTATTGCTGACTTGCTGTTGTAGATAACGAACAAGCTGCAGTCCTGAAAGTTTGAAATGACTACATGAACATATGAACAGATTGAAACTTAACTGCTGCCTAGAGTTCTGAGTCAGGAGTTTCTGTTTAAAGTGAGTGTAGCTGTTAAGATCTGTTGTTAACATCATACATGTAGGCTGTTCAGATCATACCTTCATTGCTGACACAGTTCAAATGGTAATTGTGCGTAGAAATCTAGCACAGGAATCAAGAGGATATTTTTCTTTCAAACTTTGGTTGTAACATTAAAGAGCAGTTAGCATAGCCCTCGTGTTCTGCTCCTAAAAGTTGCATTAAAAATAAAAACTACCACGGACACACAGTTTAAGGAAAGCAATATAAGAATTAAGGTGAAAAATCTTGCACTTCAGCTATTTATGTGCAGTGGCTATAGATTTAAAATGAGACTATCAAGATATTAACTGATATTGCCCCACTATCATCACAGAGGATGATTTTCTTTGTTTTGACAGTTTGGCATAGTGACAGAGTGAGTTTGAAAAAAATTATAAAAGTATTTAGTTACAAAGTTGATGAATGTGTTTCTTTACCAGAGAGCACAGGTGTATTAATTAACATTCATTGCAGATCGTGTCTTCTCTGCAAGGTTAAAATATATTATATTTGGCCCAGTGTTCACTTAAACTTTTAATTTTTTTCATGTCTTAATCAAAAAATTGGTGTTTAAATTTAGAATCTAAAATAAAGCTCCTTTCCAAACTTCATTGGTCAAAATTTGCGTGCTTTTGAGCTTTTCTAGTAGAATATTGAATACATATTCCAGGGTTCACCAATACATTTAGACATGCTCCTGTAGCCTTTATAAGATTCTTCAAAACCATAGGCAGCTATCATTTAATTTCAAAGGAACTAAGAGGATGTTATTTCCTCAGCATCTTGTTACTTGAGAACTGGAATATGCAATCACGCTTAATGAAAACAGTGCTCAACATGATGCCATTTGAAACAATCTCTCAGCAAGAGCTTACACTAGCTTGTACCACTATCTGGTGCAATAATACCTTGTGTTGTGCCTATCGAAGTTCTACTTTGCATCCCTGAAAACAGTCTTTTGGCTTAGGAATGTCCTGGCCACGGCTAATATGTTCCCCAAGTTTCTTTTAGAATGCATGCAGTGATACTTTCTGAAAGCTTGTGTGCGGTCTGTAGTTAAGAGCCTTCTGACAGATAAAATACCCTGTGTGTTGGGTTCATTAGAATCCTCAGATAATATTCCTGGAACTTTTCAGAAATGTGAAATACAGCAGAATGCAGGTGTACTCCTTAAGTTTTGCTGGCTGGTAAAACTGTTTTCCGCATATTTCTGCTACTTTGTATGCCAGCAGACCATGTGAACATGGTAGAAACCCCATCAGGCACAAGGATCTACTTAGCTGAAGACCTGCTATGAAAACTGTCAAAATATAGACATCCTGAATCAAAATCCACAAACCGCTTCAAAGCATCTAATACTGATTTTCAACCATGGGGAAAACCCCACAATCCAAGCATTAGGTTTGAATGCTGTTTCACATTAGCCAGCTGTTTGGGCTTGGGAGATCAGCTGAAGGAAGTATAAACATTTGCCTGAACCAGCTACACTGGTGGAGGGAGGGCAGTAAGCTTCAGCAGTGCTGAGGGTTAGTTTATAGGGCACGGTGAACCAGTAGTCTCTTCCTTTAAGCACTGGGTATGAGAGGATGCTCATCCACAGCTTTGCTCTGCCTTGCTCAACACTTAATGCTTATGCGAAGTAGAATCAAATAGTCCTCCTGAGTTGGTGAAGAGTATGAACAGGATGAAAAGTCAAATAAAAATTAGATCAAAGGCTTCTTTTTCTCAAAACAAATATTAATATATGGTTTCCGTTTCATGATATTTTTTCAAATATCATGTGATAGCAGAGATCATTCTGAATTTGGTTCCCTCTGCTGTGCTTCCAACTCTTTGCAGCTTGTTGCTGCTTGACAAATTTTCAAAGTGTTCTTTCTTCAAAGGATCAGCAAACTACGAAGAAGGACCAATTTTCTTTTTGTTTCTCATAGAGGAAATTAAGAGGAGCTAAGCATTTTTGCTTTAAATTTACTGAGTTTATCTCAGTAAATTATGCATCAGAATGATTCAGCTCCCAGTCTACAGCATGGCACTTTGCCTGTATGACATCTTTGGTAGCCCAGTGGTAGCTAATCTGAAATAAGGATTGAGATGTCTTAGTAAAGTTTCTTTGGAACCAGATTAGTTCAATATGGATAAAATATTTCTGCTGTTTGGGCATTTATTTTATGGAGGCACTTATTAATCCTAGATTGCTTATGAGAATATCTCTAAGTGTTGAAATAATTTTTCTTCATGGCATGAACTTTTTTATTACCTTTTTGAATACGTGAATATATTTGCGTGTATTTTGTTGTTCATAAAAACATGTTTATTAGTTTATACTCTCAATTACTAAAAATTATTAAAAGTAATATATGTAAGTTATAGATGTAGATATATTACATACGTGTCAAAATACTTCAGGACTGAATGATGCTCTGTAAATTCGTATGTCCTTTAGCTAGGTTTTAAAAAGACATGTTCTGGTGTTCTTCCTAAATTTGTGACTTAGGTTACTGTTGAATACAATTTTGCCTCTCTCCTTGTCTTCAGGTTTTGTTTTCACAATTGCATCAGTATGTCCCATATTTTAACTTCTGGAAATATGACAAACTTGCAGTTACAAAAGGATGCTGTGAAGCTATCTTGGAATGCTTCCAATGTGATATCAGTTTTTCCTCTTAATCAGTCATCCAGCCAGTGTTTTCTTTTCCTTGCCTGTTCATCCAACCGTGTTAGTAACTTCACTGGAAGTCAGGAATTCTTGTGTCTGGAGCATGATTAAGGCCTTAATATCTCTTTATTTCATCATTGAACCATTTTGCTAACCTCTGCTATCTCAGACTAGCTTCTGTGAGCCATCCTGTTGGTTAAAACTTGAGAAGACAACATCTTAGTAGGCTGTTTATCTGTACAGTCACGTTGAAATTTTTTGAAGCTGGATGTATTTACAAATGTTCAATTTTTGCATCAAAACAAAAAGTCAGTAGTTACATTAAAAATACTTTTTTTTAAAAATGGCCACTTTGCTGTTTGGATTCTTTGCCTACAACTCAGGACTTTATTTTTGAGAGAAGTTATATCCTTTTGCAAGTTATGTACTACTATATAGAAGTACATGAATAATTAAAAACAAGAAGCATCAGTTGAAATGCACTAAGTAATTACAGCTGCAGGCTTATTCTGTTCTAATTAATTGGGTTTTGATTTGTTCTTAGAGTAAGAAGTTGTGATACATCATCAAAACTGACTACTGGCTGGAATAAGATTTCTTGAACACTTGCAGTCTTGCAGTGATTTCCTCTGGAATCATTGGGTTTTTTTCTCTCTATTTCAGAGATAGCAGAATACCTATAAATCTATATGCAGTATCAGATGAAGAGAAATAGCTAAACACATTGACAGGTTTTTAAAGCATAGCAGGCATGAAAGCTGCAGTGACCTTTTCAATGCATTGCTTCAGTTCATTATGATATTTTTTTAGCCGTCCTTGGATCCTTTTTTCTGTTGGTTTCAACAGTAGAACATCTGTATAATATTGATAAATGTAACTATGTTCCTCTGATTTAGTTTAGTAAAAAGATGATTTTTTTTTTCTATCTCTTACAGCTTGACAAAGATGACATGGTATATATGGAGGCATATGATAAGTTGCTGGAATCTTGGCTTACTTTGGTCCAAGATGACAAACATTTCCATAAAGGTTTCTTTACCCAACATGCTGTTCAAGTCTTTAATTCCTACATTCAGTGCCATCTAGCTGCTCCTGATGGCACAAGGAATTTGGTAAGCCTTCATTGTAGTAGTTCTGGATGATAACATACAGTAACTAGTCCATGTCTTTTGGTGTGTGTATATTATGCAGCTAGTACAGAATTGCCATTTGTGACTTCGGAAATGAAAAAAATTGCTGAACTTGTTATTCAGTTGTGATTTCCCAGTCTATTTCTCTCATTCTGGACAGGAACTAATGGATTCCAAAGTTGGAAACCACTTAAAAAAAAAAAAATAAACCTGTATCTTAAATCCATGTGTATCTTATTCTTTCCAGATACAGTAACAAAACTTTTGACCCTCCATCTGGATTAGAATTCTAGTTAAAATTCTCAATTAAATTTGGGGCCTTTTTATGATTGTTGCCTCCCATGCACTATCTTCAAAATGTAACTGACATGATTATAATAGATACTTATATATCTGAAAAAATGTAGACTGACTGTGCTCAAAGCTGAAGAAACTTGGAATATCACGTAGTCCTTTTGGATAAAATAAATTCCCGGTTGAGTTTTTGAACAGTTGACTGTGTAGAGAAAATTTAAAAGTACATCAAGTATCTCTTGAGCCATTGAGAAAGAAAGATGATTAGTCTGTTTGGCAGGAATGTGGATTTACTGAAATAGATTCTTACACAAAAAGTTGGATGTAGATGTTGGATGAATTAGTGATTGCATAGATTCAATTCAATAACTGTATAAAATCTCTCTTTAATTTGATGCTTTGCAAAGGTTTCAGAGATACCTCATTCTGAAAAGCACTATGTAAAACATAATTCTGCTATCTCAATATGTAACAGATGGTAAAATAACAGTGCCAAAACTGAGAGAAATATTTCACAGGAGAGCTTTGAATTCATATCAGGCAATCTTGACATAACTTGTGTACACAGGTTGATTCATGTCATTCTGTGAGATAAGTCATTTATCCCATGGGTAACCTTTAAAAGCCACAGCTGGCATTTTAGAATGCTTCTTGTTCCATATCAAAGCGGTAACAGGAACTTTCAGTCTCTGCTTTGAGAGCAGAGGCTCATCCTTCAGTAAACAGCTGCAACTTTGAAGTTGCCAAAAGAGAATGATTTGCTGGGTTACATAAAGAAAAGATGAGTTAAGAGTGCTTTGCATAAGGAGTTGTGTGTGGATTCAGTTTTCCAGGGCGTCTACAGAAACAAAGCAGACTGATAGCTTTCTCCGCCTCTTGTATTTTACTTTGTTACTTGCATAAATTTTATGATTAAGAGATAAGAAAGAAACACTTTTAATATTTATAGTTGGTTTCTGCATATCATGGTTCATCTGTTCAAGGAATAAGATCTGATTATCATTTAAATAGTTTTATAATGCAACCAAGATAAGCTTTGAGAAATTGAACACAATGCAACTCCTGCATCAGCAAGAAATAAAGCTGAGATCATCAAGATTATTAGTCTGCTGTTTTCTGAGTTTACAGCACTTACTTTTAATGTACTTTTTTTAAAAATTTAGTAGTACTTTTTAAACCTACTATTTCCCGTTGAACAGTAGGTTAGGGAAAACCTTTAATTAAAGGGCTAACATTTATTTCATCATGAAAAATACTACCTATAATGTGATTTATGTAAAATCTCAGACAACTGAGGAGTATTAAAATGTTAGCAAATGAACTGAATGTGGCATTTTGGTACTGAGATTGTGAAATGCTGATTTTGAAACAATATGAACCCATGTTGACTCTCTTTTACTCTTCTGTGTATAATTTAGTACAAGTCTGTTGTTCATGCAAATTACCTTGCAAGAAAGAGCCAAAATAAAGCAGAAAATTGTGGTAATAAAGAATTTAATAAGCATGACCCTAACTGGTTGCTTCTAATTTTGTTGAAATAACCAAAGACTGCCAATGGTGTGGCCTCTCGGGAAGAAGAAGAAATAAGTGAGCTGCAGGAAGATGACAGAGATCAGTTCTGTGACCAGTTGGCCAGCGTAGGCATGCTGGGGAGGATTGCTGCAGAACACTGCATACCTCTTCTCACAAGGTAAGTACAAAAAGAATAGTTACGAATGCAAATCAATAAAGCTGTCACATAGGAAAAGCCTATTGTTGCCAAAACAGTTTAAAAACAGTGAAGCTGCTTTGTTATTTGTCCACAGTTTGCTAGAAGACCGAGTGACAAGGCTCCATGGACAGTTGCAGAGACATCAGCAGCAGCTACTTGCCTCACCAGCATCAGGTTCAATTGACAATAAAGTGCTTGATGACCTGTATGAGGATATTCATTGGCTTATTTTAGTCACAGGTTAGTGAACAGCTTTAAATAGTACTTAATCTGGTAGTCTTATTGCAACTGGAACACCTCAGGAAAAAAAAAATAATCCCTGTATATCAGCTACTCTCAATTGACTATACATTTTATCCCTTAATATGATTTCATCTTACATACAGGACTGGCAGAGTCCTTGTCTTGCTATCATCTGCCTTTAGTAACAGGAATTATCTCTAATGATTACCTTGTGTAAAAAGCTTCATCAATGTCCGTTGGAAATTCCTGCAAGTAATTTTGTTATAGATTTTTCTGAGTTGTGTTATCAGTCAACCTATTCAAGGAGTTAGTCTCTTCATGGTATTGTGGTGCTGGCTGGGTGCACATGACTTAATAAGGGAAGCAACATGAGATCAGGAAAATGGTGACAGAGAATCATGTAAGTTTTACACTTTCTCAGCACTGATAATCCATGACCTGCTATTTTGCTATGTTTTGGGGAATTTAGAGCCTTTTTGCTCTAAATTTAGAGCCTTTTGAAATTAGAGCCTTTTTGGGTTTGATTTTTAGATGGCAATATTTTCTGTATGAAATGTATGAAATATTTGTGGGACTTTTTTGAAGATCTGATGTTTTAGTTGCTCTCAGATGTTGACGTGAATGTGTTTATAATATTTTTATAACACTGAGGTGAAGTTTGTAGCTCACAGATAGTTATGAGATCAGATACTGAAAACTATAACTAAAGCTGGATTTAATATTATCTAGATACCAGAGTATTGTATGAAAACCCATGCTTCACCTGATTTGCAGTTGCTAGGTGAGGAAACTGTGTTACAGCACATGTACTTGAGGTCTGAAAGACTGACAGATTTGAGATGTTAGCAAAACATCTCCCAAATGATATGGACTCAGTGGGGAAGCTGTAAAACAAGGCTTTTTTACCACATAGCAGAAGAAAAAAATTGCAACAAAATGTTTTGTCCCTCACCCAAGCAGATGAATTGACTGCAGCACTTTTACATGAAGCAAAACTCATCTCTATTGGTTTTTAAATTGCTAGTTTATTTTTCCAGTCTTGGATTATTGTCACTTTAGGTTTTTTTTCCTACTGAATGGCTTTAAGGATTCTAATTAACTTGTATGCATTTAAGCAGGGTTAGTCAGGGTCTGTACAAACATTTGAGTCTGGTGTGATGTCTGCGGGTAAGCCTATGGATTCTTGAATCAGAAAGCTGTAAATTAACCTAGGGTAGAAAGTTGTGATCACTCTTTCTTTTTTAATGTAAGGCTACCTCTTGGCTAATGATACTCAGGGAGAGACTCCGCTAATACCTCCAGAAGTAATGGAATATTCCATTAAACATTCAGCTGAGGTTGACATCAATACAACACTTCAGATTCTGGGATCTCCAGGAGAAAAGGCCTCTTCCATCCCAGGGTACAACAGAACTGATTCTGTAATTAGGTAAGGATGCATCTTGTATTATTAAGTATGTTAACTGCTTTTTCAGAGGAAAAAAAACACCTAGAATGTGAGTAGACTTCTTGTCAATGTGAAAAGTAAACAATATGTAAACACTGAACATTGAAAAGGGAAAGATTGACCTGTTAGTCTTAACAGACATCATGAGCCAACGTCTTGGAAATACACAGAAATGGTTTTTATATTTATACTGAAAACCCATCTTTTATCTCTTTCTTACAGAAAATACGTAAAACTACTGAAGTAAAAAAAGTTGGCAGATCAAAATCTTTAGATAATATATACTCTAAAATTCATTCAGCACATATACAGCTTAAGCAAATGCTTTCCAGAACATCAGTAAGCTTCTCTACTTTAAATATGTGTTACTGCCCAAGCTTGGCAGTAGCAGCAAAATTGATCCTCAGAGCATGAGGAATTATTGTCAGTTATGTACACATATCACCGTCAGCCTATGAAAGAAGCAGGAGAGATGTCTCTTCTCTTTTTGCAAGAAGACTGATGCTCACAAAGGATTCCTCCATTTGAACCCTCACTCTTCAGAAGATTGCATTCCACTCTTAGTTGACATGGAAGAGTCTTCACCTAAGATTAGTTGTTTCATTCTTCAAATGTTTTCTTCTGGGAAGAAGGTAGAAAAAGTGGACCTTCATTAGCAATGATGTATGTGCCTAGTGTTTAGAAGGTTGTATACTGCTCACTATACTATTGGCCACTTTAAGAAGTGGCCACCAAACAGGATTTCTTGATGCAGTATCTCAGTGGTAGGAATAAAACCAGATCAAAATAAGGATAGATTTGAGGCCCTTTGGCAGTAACTCTGAAGTGTCTTCAAGAAATAGGCCACTGTCAGCTCCTAAATTTCTTGTGTACAATCACATTCTTACAAAATTCAATTGATGTACTACAAAAGCTAGTATTTAATGCTTTAATTTATATTGTATTATCCATACAATTTATGGACTGATTATATTAATGCAATCACCTCATGATCTACTATTTCAGGCCATTTCCCAGCAGTAATGAACAAAAGAAAAATAACTGGTCATTTCTGTATTTGTTTTCTGATGTGTGTCACGCTGCAAACACTGCACAATTAGAACCCATTTGGTCACTAAAATTGCGGTGCAAGGAAGGAAAAAGCAGTTTTTCAAAACAGCTTTTCAGGCACTCCAAGTAGTTAATTTGTCACAATGCTTGTCAGGATTCTTTGTTGCTGTAATTTTGATGACAAAATACTTACTTTTTGGAGGATAATTGCTCTTTTCTCTCTCTCTTTCTCTCTCTCGCCTTGCATTTCAAAACCAGTAAATTCAAGTGCTTTTTACTTGATTAGAGTTGAATTGCTTTGTATTATCCTGATCCCTCTGTCCTATTTTGTGAAAAATGAAAGTGGTTTTGGTAGTTTCATTGCTTCTTCAAAAGCCTCTCTCAACATCCTCATTGTATTTTGAATCTGCAGGTTGTTATCTGCTATTTTAAGAGTGTCAGAAGTAGAATCTAGAGCAATAAGGGCAAATCTCACACACCTCCTGAGCCCCCAGATGGGCAAAGATATTGTATGGTTCCTCAAGCGCTGGGCAAAGACTTACCTCCTAGTAGATGAGAAGTTGTATGATCAGGTAAAGATGTAACTTTTATGAACTTATTTGTGAGTGTTAGCAATAATAGTATCCTGTGAATGTAGATGTCAATTTAGCTATTTAAAAATGCAGTGCTAAAGTATTTTTAATGTTATATGGGTTGTGATTTATTTTGGAATTTGTTGGAAAGTTGATGTTTACTTCCATTTGCTAATTCGAAATAAAAGTTTTTAGGGGACTCTTGCACATTTTGCTGTAAATGTGATTTTTTTTGGTAGCCATTGCCATATCAGAATAACATAGTGCTCCTGGGCTGCATAGTGAGTGAAACTCACTGACTGCAGTGATGTTATAAGTCATGACTGTCCATCAGAATTTACATTTCATCTCTAATATGGTGATTGCTCTTGATCCGATCCTGAGTTAGATATTTAACACCATCACAAGATAGTATACATTAGCTAGTGTCATGCTACCTTCTTTCCTCATTCTCATTGTATATATCATGATTTCAACAGTGTGTTTTTTGTAAAGGGCAACTTGTTACCGTGCTTGGACAGGACTAATCGTGATTAGAACTTGATCCTAATTTTGCATATCAAACTAACTGTAATCCAGCTAGCTTGCAGAGGCCACCCATCCTGAGGAGGTCCTGTTGGCTCTAATTTTTGAGAAGTCTCCTCCTCCTCCCCTTTATTTCCACTATTGAAGCAACTAAGAATACTAACGCTTCAGGAGGCCTCTCCTTAACAATAGGTATCACAGACTTGTAGATATTTGGAGTCATGTTATTCAGCTCATACATATAGCACAGCTAAGAATTCATAAAGGAACTAGTTGGACAAGAATTGGATATCGTATTAGAAGGAGATCCAAGTGAAAAACAGTGTGAAGAAACAAAACTGAATCTGAGTGTCTAGGAAATGCACACATTTAGTTTGTGTTGACATGTTAAAGTGACTGAAACCTCTATTTAAACCTTGTGCTCAGTCATGAGTTCTTAAGGGTAGAAGTGTTAGTGGTGTGCTGACAGGAAGCCCCTGCACACTTACTACAAAGTCTTTGGATTTCACTCTTTAGAAACTTTCTTTAAAGGTAGGAGAACACGTAATTTCAAGGAAGCATATTTTCTTGTGCCAGGACCAGAGTGTGACATGTTTCCTAAAACAATGTGTAGATTGAAGGAACCATCTGCAGAAAGCAGATGCAGAAAAATTGAGGTGAAAATTAATTTTTACAAGTTTTTATATATGTCAAAAAACATATTTATTTCTAATAATTTTTACCACTGAATTTTGAAGAATTATGTCTTAAATTCATGGAAACACTTTTGGGAGGTGATTTTGGGATCTTTCTTTTAATTATTAAAGCTTTTGAACTTTCATTGGCCTTAAAAGCTAGACATAATCAAACCTTTTCATAACGAGGTTGAAACTTTTCTTTGTTTTAGATGGTGTGCATAAAATTGCAAGATAAATTTGGCAAAGATTTTTTCTATTACACGTATTCTTTGCCTTTGTCTGTGTAACATTTGTGTAATTTAAGTAGGAAAGAAGTGACAGCCTGAAAAGAATTTGCTGACAATGATTGCCATACACTTTTGGGTTCTGGCTTCTGTAAAACTCACTCATTTTAATGCTTTTCTTATAGATAAGTCTGCCATTTAGTACAGCATTTGGTGCTGATACAGAGGGTTCCCAGTGGATTGTGGGTTACCTTTTAGAAAAAGTGATCAGTAACCTGGCAGTGTGGAGTTCAGAGCAGGACCTTGCAAATGATACTGTACAACTGCTAGTAACATTAGTGGAAAGGAGAGAGCGGTAAGTTGCTATACCTCTGGAAGTCAAAAAGTTTCTTTTGCTTCCTTTAAAGTTTTTTGGCCACAGTAATCCAGATATAGGGCGCTTCATATTCATGTCTGTAAGTCAAATTACTTTAGTAGCATACTATAGCTGAAAAAAACACAACAAATTTGTCTGACAAGCTGAGGAGTGAGACCTGTATTTGACAAAACATCACCTAATTTTTATTGCTGTTTAGAAGTGCACTCTCCTTCCCTACTTTTGTGTCTCACTCGTAAACAGTGAGAAAGGAAAACTCTCCTGGTCTCCACTCTTATTGCAAGGATTTTTGTGTTACTGTTAAATTTTGTTAATTAGGAGTTCAGATACTGGCTAAACCAGTATGAAATATGTTTTGTAAACCTAATTTTTTTTTTTCAAAATACAGGTTTTTTTTGGATTCAGTCAAATTTCAAAAAGTTTTCTTTGATATTGCAAACTTTGAAGCAGGAGGTTCTTGAATGCTTTATTTCTGTCAATTGACAAGCAATTATACATGAAGTCATGCATTCACAGTCTACTCAAAGACTGTTCTGAAGTATGAGGATTTAAAATGCTTAAGGATTTTTCTTTTAAAAAAATTAAACCCCACAGCAGCTAGTTTTGGAATAAATAGCTTATTTTATTATGATGTAATGAGACTAAGCTTTTAATCCATGCAATATGTCCATTAACTCTTGTGTGTGTATGTGTGTAAAACTAAAGCACTTCCCTGTTTTTCTCCTGTATGAATTGATCTATTTTCAGAGTATATGCTTTAAAAATCTGAGAGCTGAGGCATCAGTAAGATGAAAATCAAAAGGCAATTTTGCCTCAGAATAAAGGAATTTAAAAAAATATAGCAACAAAAAATCTTCTGGCAACTGCTAGAAACCTGATATGCTCTGTTCATACAATTTTGTGAAGTCTTTAATGATTTTTTTTCCCCCCCTCTTTTAGGGCAAACTTAGTTATTCAGTGTGAAAACTGGTGGAATTTAGCTAAACAGTTTGCAAGGCGAAGCCCTCCTCTTCACTATTTGTCTAGTTCTGTGCAGAGAACACTAATGAAAGCTTTAGTTCTAGGAGGTTTTGCTCATATGGATACAGAAACAAAGCAACAATACTGGACAGAGGTAAGCTGTTTTGATACTTCCATTAACTCCATATAAGCAAGCAGTACAAGTTTAGGGAATTTTATAGTGACACAAAATCAATTTGTATAACATATTTTGATATTTAATACTGATGATTTTTTAAACTTCTCTCTCTTTGATGGTCAGTGTTTGTATCTGTTGTATCTAAGTTTTATCTGGAATATCTCAACCGAAAAAGAAATTACTAATCATTAATTGGAGGATTTGTGAGGCAGACAGTAGAACAATATATTTGAAAGAGACTATTATAGAAGATTAAAAATTTCCCTTGCACTGAGATATTTCTTCCTTTCATTTTAATTTTATGGTGTTATGAATTATTCTGTTATCAATTGATGACAGTAAGTAAAAAGTCAATATGGAACGTAATGAAGAGTCTTGACCATCTCTTTGGGCCCTGGTTCCATTAAAGCTCAGGTATTTATTACCAGAAACGTTGATGCTAGAAAGTAGCTGAAATGGCATCAGGAAGCACCATGTGACTTGGTAAAGCATTGGCCTTCTGAGAAAAACATGCTTTTATTGGTAGAGCTATGAAAATAGTGATTTAAGGTAAGAGTGTAATAAAGTGGAAGTAACTGGGGAAAAAATAATTAACTATTTTTGTGGAAGCTTCCAAATACAGATGATGACAAGTATTTTTGCTATTGAGAATCATAATGTGGCAAAATAACTATGAGCATTACTCTTAATGGTTTCATTTTATTCTTAATGGTTTCATTAATAAGCTGTAACAATTTTTTCCCCTAATGGAGAATTTGAAGGGAATCAAATGCTTTGAGCCAGGGAAAGTCATTGTCATTTGTTTAAATGCTACAAAATGACCTGAAATATTAATGGAGTTGCTAATTTTGACACCTGCCTGCAGGCCATGATGGACAATGAGAAGCACTATTCACTACCACTTCTGCTTGCATTAATGTGACAGATAATGACGTAACTGAACCATTGGAAACTGGAAGTGATTGATTCTTGTACTACCATGCCAAAAGCAATGAGTTTGCTAAATTATTTAAACCTCACATCTCATATAATAATATGATTATCTTAATGTGACTTCTCTGAAATATTTCAAGGTTCTTCAGCCACTTCAGCAGCGATTCTTGAATGTGATAAACCAAGAAAACTTTCAGCAGATCTGTCAAGAGGAGGAAGTGAAGCAGGAAATCACTGCTACATTAGAAGCACTCTGTGGCATTGCTGAGGCTACCCAGATTGATAACGTAGCAATTCTCTTCAATTTCCTAATGGACTTCCTTAATAATTGCATTGGATTAATGGAAGTATACAAAAACACACCAGAGACTGTTAATCTCATAATAGAAGTCTTTGTTGAAGTTGCACATAAACAAATTTGCTATCTTGGAGAGGTAAATACAACCAGAAAGGGAAGGAGGGGGCAGAGTATGTGTGTGTGTGTGCACGTGCATGTGTGTAAACGTGTATACAGTGCTATTCCTTAAACAAAATAAAATGTAGTGATTTTTATGGAGAGAAAGGAAGACTATGTGGAAACATCTGTTAAGGAATTCCTTTGTTTTAAAACATAGCCTTGTGAAGATTAAAAGCAGGGCATTCAGACTTTTTTTTTACCAATAATTTTTACCACAGTTCATCATTAGTCTAACTATGCACGGATGGCAGAAGAGGACCGACTATGTTGAGTACTTTTTTATAACAATATCAAACTTCTCTGAAGTCTAGTCTAGGAGAATTGCAGCAGTGTTCTATGTGGCAAATGCCTACCATAGAGACACTGCCTTAGTCTTAGTCAAGGCACTATTAGACACAAGAAATTAACAGTTAAAATTTTGACTTTGTGTAATGCATTTGTATCTTTGCACTGTTAGCTAATTTTGTTTTCACATCTGGAAGAGTTGCAAACTGGGTATGCACAAACAGTGTACTGTGGCTCCAAACTTCTATAAGTAAAGTGTCACCCCACGGGATTTCGTTGGTAATCTAGTTTGTGAGATTAGTGAGGTATGTCAGTCTGTCCCAAACCACTCTTGTCTGGATTTTTGTTAAGACTAAAGAATCAAGAAAATTAATGTTTTGCTCTTTCAGTTGGTATCACATCAATATATGGCCATAAGTGTTCTTATTGTCTAAAGTGGCTGTTTCCTTGATGATTTTGTGTACAGTTGGCACAAAAGTGATCATACACTGAAATTGAAATCTTAAAGTATTATCTACCAAGTAATGCCGTCTTAAAGTGTTTCTCTTTTAGCATATGGAAGTTTTCTTATTATGTAAAATTGTTTTATAGGCCAAAGCCATGAACTTGTATGAGGCCTGCCTAACTCTGCTCCAGGTGTATTCCAAGAATAATCTAGGCCGACAACGGATAGATGTTACAGCAGAAGAAGACCAGTACCAGGATCTCCTTCTTATTATGGAGCTTCTCACTAATCTTCTATCAAAAGAATTCATAGATTTCAGTGATACAGGTATTCAGGAATTGGTAATTGATGAACCACATGTTGTTTTCTAAACTGAAAGAACCATTTTGGGGCTTGTGTTCAGTCCATGTAAAGAAAAAGCTGAAGTTTAGGCTTAAGTAGGTCAGGATATGGAAATTGCTATTTAAAGTAGCAAAGAAGGACTTTTCACAATATTCTAACATCTGAAATTATTGCTGTCATAAAATAAATTATGGATGTATGAAACAGCTTGAAATCTGAATGTTGCAAGTCTGAATATGTTGTACCAGCAGTTTTATAACAAAAAACACATAGAGAAGTTGTAGTAGTAAAGTACTGCAAAAGAGCAGATGGGTTGTCTTCTTAGTAGAGGATTCAACTTTTGTGAAATGTTGAGTCATTAAAATTCCATCATGTGAGAGTCTTCCGTATTCCTCTTTCACAGAACATGCTTTATGGTTTGTGGGTGTAGTTAAGGGTTCCTTCTTGTATCCCAGCCTGTTACTTTCTTCAGTTAGCTGTGGTGCATTGCTTTTGAATAAGCCGAAACATATTTCCATGGTTCATATCTCACCATGTTCTATACACTTTGCACAGATAACAACCCAGGCAGATTCTGTTTGATACCAAGCATGTTTTGATATTCGTTGCTTTTTGGAGGTATGTCTTTAAAGAGAGAATCTTGTACTCTGAAATGCAGCACATTATTTTTTCATCATGCATACACAACACAAGTATAGAACCAGTTTTAAACTTTGTCCATTGAATGGACAAATCAGTGCTTTTTAAAGTATTTGCTTTGAGATCTGGACATTAGTTGCATGGAAAACACTTATCATGAAACAAAGTATTGTGAATAAAACCTAGATGCAATGCCCATAGATCAAATCCATTGCGAGTTTTCTGTATACTGCTGCTGACTCAATGCAAGAGTTATAAAAGTAAGGTCACTGCCAGTTGATGGGAAATGTAGGCCTTAACCTAAAGTCCTTAACATGTAACTGGAGAAAACTTGGCAACATCCAAACTGCAGAACTTTGTTAGCTCTCCCATTTTTTTTTCTACTTCTGTTCCTAACAGATATTAAACCATATGTAAATACAATATGTATATATATGTAAAAAGTACAAAAATGCAGTAATATTTTACTCACTATGTTTGTGTGCAGGCATGAAGCAGCTATCACTAGAAACAAATGCAATGTTCTGTAATGGAAGGGAGCCCTCAGTATCTGAAGCGTTCTGGTTTAGCATGCCATCTGGTACAAGTGATTATGAAATGCTTAGTCCTAATGAATATAAATATAAAGTGATGTGACAGCCTCCACTCACTAAGTTTCTATTTTAATACAGTGCCTCATGGTTTTGTTTGGAGAGAGGAGACTAGTCCTATTTTTAAAAATGTCTGTATTATAAAGAAATGGGACTGTTCCTTCAATATGTTGAATCTTCCTTTTATACAAAATATTTTTTTTGTTTTTTGCAGATGAAGTATTTAGAGGACATGAGCCCGGGCAAGTTACAAATAGATCTGTATCAGCAGCAGATGTTGTTTTATATGGGGTTAATCTAGTTTTGCCTCTAATGTCACAAGATCTGCTGAAGGTAAGTACATTTTTTACACAGAGCTGGTAGAATATGGAAGCTTTATAGTAATGAATTCCCAGAATTCGTTCCTATATGCATTCCACCTCCATAAGCTGAATTTTCTAGACTTCATAGATGTAAATAACTGTTCCACAGTTCTAAATATTATTCGAAAAGAAACACTGTAAGCTGAGAAAATGTATGTCTGAGGGTCCTAAACAAAACATTTCTTCTAAAAGCAAGTCTCTGTGCAGATCAACAGGCAGACCTCAAATGTGGCTCACCAGAGTGCTTTTTCTGATAGTGTCAGAAATGTGACAAGAAGCATAAACAGTGATATGAGTTAAAAGTAACTATTTATTTGCACAATACAGATGGCTGTCGATTGTAGGCATCAGCAGCTCGTCAGTAGAACAGTAAAACATGAAACGATGGGACAGCAGTGTTTCATTGTTGCCCTGTGTTCATGTTTTACTTTGAAACAGGGGAACACTTCTAGGGGGTGTCTCAGCTGGCCCCTCTGCACATGCCTTCTCATCCGGTAGTGCTTGCTGAGCATGAGAGCTGCGTCCATTTTAGATCAGACCAAGGCGAGGGATGTACCCTGGGAAGCCCTCAATTGTGCTTCAAATGCTCACGAGGCTTCTACCCCACAGGACTAGATCTGTCTGTGTCTGAAATGAAACTCCTTTAATTTGTATAGAGCAGATACCAGACTGCCACCATCTACTGTTTAGTAATCTTTTATTGTACCACAGTGTTTGTATTGATATAAAGTTGTAGACATTCTAATGACTTAAGTTTCCTACTAAAATTCTTTTCTTCAGTGCAAAACATCAGTCATGTCTCTTTGTATTGTTGAAAATTATGCCAAAATAGTTATGTGATTGAATCTAAAAATACCATGTTTTTCTTTTGACAGTTTCCATCCCTGTGTAATCAATATTACAAATTAATCACTTTCATATGTGAAATATTCCCTGAGAAAATTCCACAACTTCCAGAGGACCTCTTTAAGAGCCTAATGTACTCACTGGAGTTAGGGATGTCATCGTATCCTTTACAGAGCTTGGGAATGCTTTTTAAAAAAATCTATGTTGCTTTTATAAGGATCTGTTAATTTTTTTTTTCTTTTCCTGTCAATATCTGCATGTATAATTATATATCAGTAATTGACTCTTACACTGCTCTCTGGGGATTGAGAGCTTCACTAGTTTCCACTGAGATTCCAGCATTAGCTGAATTGCCTCTAACTTGTGGTGCTTGGGCACAGCCTTTAAGTAGCTTAGCATGTAAGTTTTTTCTGGCAGCCATTCCTGCCTCCTCCATTACTTCATTTCAGAGTGTGTAACTTCATAAGCCTTCAGCTGGTATCCCAAAGCCATTCCTGAATTAGTGTCTCAGCTGGTAATACAAAACATTGCTGCTGTTCTACTGGGCTGGCTCCAGAGCATTTCCTGTCAGGGTGCCAATGGGCTCTCCCTCTCATAATGGGAGTACCATTTTCACTAATCTGTGGCACGTGTCAGAAACAGATGAGCTTGACCATAAGGGACTCTTTCTGAAAATGTTATGTCAGAGAGGGTTATGTTACTTTAGGGCATGTAGCTAATAAAAGAAGGTAATGAAGTTGGAATCCTTTTTTCACCCCCTTTTTCTAGCATTTTTTTAGTTTGATTTTTTAAATTAGCAACTTTGTAATAAAAAGAAACTTTGAAACATACAAGCATTTCAGGTATTTTCACAGCTGGGTAGTTTGACCATAATTTAATTGAAATCTGATTTCAATTCTTTAACACCCATTATCAGAATGAGCTCAGAGGTCTGCCAGCTCTGTCTGGAGGCTGTAACACCATTAGCAGAACAGTGTGCAAAAGCACAAGAAACAGATTCAACCCTTTTTCTAGCAACAAGGCACTTTCTTAAGGTAAGGCATCTTTCTTGTTACTTTGGTTTTTTGCATGAAGGTAGCATCCAGAGCCCAAACAGTGGTCATATCCAGATTAATCAGGATAAGAGGGCATGAAGAACCGAAGATATCAGACTAGGGTACAAAAGAGGATGGAGGTGTAGAGGGAACCGATCCATTATTGTCAGTAAATAAAAGACCTGAGCCTCTCAGAATGCAATTTTTCTATCCATGCTCTGTACTTGAGATTGACAGTTTTGGCAGTTACTGGTGAAGCTGCGAACAAAAGGCTTCCAGAACTCTGTGAACTGGAGGCTGGGTAGAGTACTAAAAGAAAAGGCATGAAAAAGAGCATAGCTGGGAACTAGAAAGGAAACGCTGTCATTTATTCAGTGTATCTAATGAATTACACGCTTTCTTAATTCACTATCACATTCAGTACTTTACTTGTAGGACCATCCATTTTAATGAATTTTGGAGTGACCTGGTAGCAGCCAGGTTCCTAATAACTGGGAACAAAGAAATTGTAGAATTTGTGTGCTTGTCTTCCGGTTTTGTATAGGCTTCAGTTTTACTTAAGACATCTTTTCTTAAAGATGTCTTTTCCCAAACTGACCTTGGGATTTCTGAGGATTGCTCATTAAATGCTTCCATCAGACAAGCTGATAGAATGAGAAACTTGCATAATTTTGTCTTTGTGTATCTTCTAATTTAACATAGTTTCATTCCTTATTTCTGAATTTCCACTTAAAATTTTAATATTAGTCTTTACTAATCTGTTCCCTGTTTGACTTTCTGTGGGCTATAGGAGTCTCCAAAACTTGAGGAAAAGTTCTGTATTTTATTCTGCAAGAGCAAAGGCTTTTTACATTATTTCTCTGGCATATCTGCAGCTTTTGGAGAAAAATACAAGTGATGGAGTGTTTCTCTGAAGAACAGTTGATATAAATCAACAGGTTCCAGTGCTTGGAGATGTGAATTTATACTGTTAAGCCAAGAATCAACTTCAAAAAGAACTTGGCTTCTAAATTTCTGGTATCTAAATTAGAAGAAAAAAAAAGGGCAACAAAGCAAACAGCAACCTTGGATGTTTGTAATACATGTTCATTGTTATTATCAGAAGTGAAGATGAGCTTCAGCAGCAAATGTTTATTAAGTAGAAAATTAAGTTTAGACTTATACAAATACTTCTGTTTTGTGATTTCAGATGGTTTTTGATATGCTGGTACTTCAGAAGCACAATACAGAAATGACAACTGCAGCAGGTGAAGCGTTCTACACATTAGTGTGTTTACATCAGGTATGGCATTCAGACACCCTGAAAAGAAATCATTTATTAAAGGAGAGTAGTTATTTCATGTGCACCTGATAAATCATGGAATCATTTGGGTTGAAAGGGGGCATCCTCAGGAGATCTGCCTGTTTCAGCTGCAGGTCTTTGCATTTGTACTTGCTGAATTTCAAGACTCTACAGTCAGCTCATTGCTCCATCCTGAGTGTCTCTAAATGTCAGTCCTGCCCTTGTATGCAGTGGCTGCGCTCCCCAATTTGGTTTTGTCCCCAGACTTGAGAAGAGTGTATTTCCCCTCCTCCTCCAGGTCACTGACTAAAATATTTAACAGGACAAGGTCCAGATGAGAGCTCTCAGTGCCACTTGGAACCAGCTTCTAGTGGAACATGAGCCATTAGCCTCAATCCTTTACAGGCTGATGGTAAAGGTGTGTTTTTACACATGTAGTAGTTCACCCATTTAGACAGTAAAATCTTAACTTGATTGCAAGGGTGCAGTACACAGGTACTAAAGACCTGCTTTGCTTTAGGGATGCACTGCTCATCTTAGCCATAGATATAAGTCATTTTGTCAAAGAAGACAAGGTGGTAAAGCATTATTTTCCCTTGGTAAATCCATACTAGCTGTTCTCAGAATCACAGAATATGCTGAGTTGGAAGGGACCCGTGAGGATCATAGAGTCCAACTCCTAGCCCTGCACAGGACCATTCCCAAGAGTCACACCATGTGCCTGAGATCAGTGTCCAAACACTTCCTGAACTCTATCAGGCTTGATGCTGTGACATCCTGGGGAGCCCAGCCACCCTCTGGGTGAATAACCTTTTCCTAATACTCAATGTAAACTTGTCCTGACACAACTTCAGACCATTCCCTTGGGTCATTTGACTTTCACATGCCCAGAAATAACTTCTAGGAGTACTTGTTTCATTATTTTCTTAGTCATTCAAAGATGATAGACAGCAGCCAGTAATGAATGACATGACCCAGCTGTCTGAACCCTTGGATAGATTCTGTCAGGTCTTAGGAGCTTGCATGCATCAAGATTTCTCAAGAGATCCCTGGGTTGATCCTCTTTATTATGCATAGTTTGTCTCCTCCTTGAACCTTGTATCTAGTCACACAGGTCTGGAAAAACCTGTCAGTGAAGACCAAGGCAAAAGAAAGCATTGATTATTTCAGCCTTACCTCTTGTCTACTATCATTAAATCATCTGTTCCATTCGGCAGTAGAATCCATCTATTCCCTGTTCCTTCTTTTACTCTTAAAGTACTGGTGAAAGCTGCTTTTGTTGTCTTTGTCCTTTGCTAAATTCAGCTTTAGATGAACTTAATTTTTTTGTCATTGTTCTTGTCCAGACGATGTTTCTGCTTTACTCCTTTCTAGCTGTTCCTGCTTCTGTTTCCTGCACGTGTTGCCCTTGTGCTGGAGTTCAGTCATTAAGTCCCTGCCTAGCTGAATCAGTGTCCTTATTGTTTTCCTCTGTATCTGGACAGACCATTTTTGTGCTTGGAAGAGGTTGTCCTTGAAGACCTGTCAGCCCTCTTGAGCTCTTTTTGTCTTCAGAGCTCACTCCCACAGGATCCCATCCACCAGTCTTGAAGAAAGTGACATCTTGACATCTGCTCTTATGATGTCCAGGTTGTGTACTTGGCTGACCTCTTTCCTCGCTTTCCTAGGAATCCTTAACTCCACTATTTAATGATAACTGAAAGCCTGGCATTAATTACCACATCCCTGACCAGCTCTTACTAGCTGTGAATACCAGACACAAAGTCACACCCCTGGGTAGCCCATCTGGTATGTGTGCAAATGTCAGGGAGATAATCTCCTGTCTGATCTGGAAACTTCCTCAAGTTGCTTTAAGACTACTAAAAGCCCTGTTCTGGAGATTTGTAATGAGATGTCACCCCAAAAGATGATGTCATCTTTACTGCTTCTCCTCTGATCATGATCCATAAGCACTCAACTAGATTGCTGCCCAGTCTGTAGAAAACCATCTTTAATTTGAGCTGCCTTTTCACAGAAGTGTCAATCTTCTGTCATCTGCTGTCCTGAAGATCTCTAACAAGCTTCCACCAGTCCCTTGGAACACTCCAGTCATGCCACCTGTCCCACACGTATCAGTGCCTGCAGTAATGTTGCAGCTCTGAACCTGCATGTGGAGTTTTAGCTCCTTCTGTTTCCAAAGCTGTACACATTCCTACACACGCATTTCAGGTTGGCCTCCTTTCAGCCTGTTTCATCCTTTCTGAGGAGCACTTTTAAACCCATCACATTTCTTTGTGTTCTTAATACTCTTGGTCTGTCTCTTTACTTATGTACAAGTTGCTACCACTATCCCTCAACATGCCCTTTAATACCCTTCCTGCTGGGTTGGCAAGCCTTTGCCAAAGACGATGCTAAGCCACTTTGTCCTATGACTCCTCTCTCTTATTAGCAGCCCTTATTCCTCGAAGAGAGACTTGTGAGCATGTAAGAGAAAAGGACCTTGTGATACCACCCACAGGTGGCAAGTTCTTTTTGTCTACCCGCACATAACCCCTCATGGGTAGAATGGAGGGAACTGCCATTCTGATGCCTGTGTCCTTCACCTGTGCTGCCAGAGCTCAGTCCCTTTGGACTTGCTTCAGGTGTGTGCCCCTTGGCAGTGTCCTTGTCATGTTTGACATGTTTCTTTGTCTTTTGTTTCTGTCTAAATAAGTATGAGAGTAAATAGAAAACTCTTAGAAAGGAATCTAAGCTCTCTGTCCCAGGGAAGGAACCCTAGAATACTGAATGGGAGGAGATGAGGGGTATGGAACATGGGACAGGCATCAAGAAAAAACAGTCCAGCTTTCAGGAATAAGCCTATTCTAAGTAAGAGCCAGAAGGCCCTTTCTCTTAAAATTGTCATCTTACTCTGCACTGCAAAGCACTGTACCTTCCTTTGAAGGCTTCTTTAGCCTTACTAAAATACCCAGCCTGGATGAAGGATTTTATCTGGTTTAGAGGTAAGTGAAAGGCTGTGAGGACAGGTGAAGAGGTACTGATGGTTTTCTGTCACTTTATTATTTTATGTCACTTTATTCTGGATCTTGTCCTGATGAGAGAAGTTGTATATATTGTATCTCTCTCTTCTTTTTTTTAATTTCTTGTTTGTTTAACAGGCTGAATATTCAGAGTTAGTTGAAACATTGCTATCAACTCAACAAGATCCAGTAATTTACCAGCGGTTAGCAGATGCCTTCAACAAGCTTACTGCAAGCAGCACTCCTCCTACACTGGACCGTAAGCAGAAGATGGCCTTCTTAAAGAGTTTAGAAGAATTTATGGCAAATGTTGGTGGACTTCTCTGTGTAAAATAAACAACAAAACTCTATGCCTAATTTAGACCCTTTCTGCAAAATGCACTGAGAAATGCTGAATGCTGACTAAATCTTGTACCTGTCTCTGGGTTCTTTGCAGCCATCTCAGATTCTAGAGAGCCTGGAAGTTTGAACATGACACCATGGAATAGGAGAGGTCAACTTTGAATCAGCTTCTGCTATTATGTGTTAGCTGCAATCTGTCATACTTAGGTGTGGAAAAGAATGAACAGAAAATCTGAATTGAGTTTTTTTCCATTTTTCGCAAACAGATATGGGCACAATGAAATAAATGCAGTGCCTTTCCCCCTACACTGGTTTAAAATATGAGTGGTCATATAAACATACGGATTTCTTTTCTACCCAAAATCATGTTGGAGTGTGATGCAGATACATATAAAGCTCAAAACACTTTAGCTGATTTTAAGCTTTATTTTTCCTCTCTTAGTTTGAGTTTGTGTTCCAATGGGGAAGAAAAACCAAATGGTATTTTAACTTGTGTTTAGTTCTGTTTTTCTACATCAACCTGACATTGCAGGTTTAATGCAATGCAGGTTTTTACATTATGTTCTGCTGCCTAAAGTTCGGAGGAAAAAAAAGGTGTATATTTTTGTTCCCCTAAAATGAACTTTAGGAACTGTAGCCATTTCATTGCCTTAATTTAAAAGAAAAAAAAAAGCTCATATACTTTAGGTGAGAAATTTAAGGCAAGATTTGACTCTTGAGAGTTGGTTTAGGATGTTGGCACTGAGCTGCTGTGTACCTGTTGCAGCCCTTCATGTTGACGTGTTGTTTTGGAATGAGTGTCTAATGCAAGGTTCATGTGTAGTTTTACTTTCAGTATCTGTTTTGATTCTCACCTGGGTTGCATGCAACTGCAATGTATTTCTACACTGAACTGTTTGCTTAAGCAATAACAACCCGAAAGGTGTGAATTACTGGCCAACTTTGTAAAGTTGGGGCATTAGCTAAAACAATTATGCTAGCACAGGGGCATCAAACCCTTTTACTCAAGCATGTCTGCTTGACTCCAGTGAGGAAGGGTAATTGGGAAGTCTGCTGTAGGAGATTTTTGTTTTTGCTGAATCCAGTCCCACATCTGCATAGCTCTCCCAGCTGCTCTGTTCTTGCTTGGTTTTTTATATCAGCACTTTAGCTTTTATTATAGCTGAATATAGTGCCCTGAGTATACAGAACCAACAAGGGAGAGCAGCACATGAATATGAGAGCAACTGCTTTGTCTTCTGTCATGAGCCAGAGGAAACTGAAGCAAACACAAATGCTGCATGTCTAGTGAAATGATTTTTTGTGGAAATACCCGGAGGCAGAAGTGGGCCTTTCTGTTTAAGATCTCTTCTAGATTATGCTGTTAACTATTTCCCATGTGTTTTTACAATTTATATAAAAAGTCTGGTATACACCTTTATATGGCTATGTATAGCTTCATGTTTGCAATTCTGTGCCATTCTTCAGCTGTTCATCTCAAAATTAGTCACAATAGCCAGAATCTCACAATAGACACAAATCTCTAATACTGTGCTATAAGTGATCTAAGGCTTTTTTTTTTTTTCTTTTTTGTCTTTAAAGTTAAATCCGTAAGTGTCTCAAGCATGGATCCACAAGGCCAAAAATGCCATCTCTTTATTATACTTTTCTCTTTTGATGTGAAACTGATTTCTTCACTGATGTGAAAACTGGGCAAGGGCAGATTTATATATTACAAAGTGACCATGAAACTTCTCAATGTACCTTCCCAGATAATATTTTATTTCTAAGATAAGTTACATAGTATTTTATAACAGGGGTATTGCTCTCAATATTTTCTTGAAACTCTAGTGCTTTTCTTTAAAGGATTTCATGACTGTGCACTTGCACAAAATACAATGATCCTGGCAGATCATTCTGTTCCAAACTGTTGTGATGGCTGAGTTTTTATTTTTAAATTGGGATTTGCTGTTTTTGAAACTGCTTCTGGAGTTTTTCTGAGTTTGTACATTGGATAGAGCAGGAGTTCTGAAACCTCATTTTTTCAGATGAAGGGCAGTGAAGCCTGGGAACATCAGCAGCAGTAGGAGCTGCTGGTTTGTTATGATGTGCTCGATGTCAGGTATCTAGACTGAAGTCTTCAAAGAGATTATAGCAAATATTCCATGTTTTGGGTCTGACTGAGTAACTGATACACTCAGTCATCCTTTCTTTTATAACTAGCTCTGTCACTACTGTTTTATTAATCCTAAAGCTGGCTCACTATTTAAGAATATTTATTAACTTTAAAGTTTTGAAATCCTTTTGCATATTGTGATGAAGGGGAGCACAAATTGAGTTTGTATTCTGGGTAATGTGCATACCCATTATTTTTCTTGTCAGGCCCATTGTGTTGTAACAAGCAGAGAGACACAGCATTTTTGAGTATCAAGACTTTAGCTGAAGTATGAGCACCCTCTTTCAAAGGCTAGTTTTAAAGTTTAAAAATTTCCTTTGCCCTTCATTTAAAAATAATATTATATGTTAAAGAAAAACTGTCCTAGTAAGGATTTGTTTTTTTTTTTCTTTGTGATTTCCTGCCTGATGTTACACTCTCCTGTTTTTTAATTTTACTTTCATTCTCATATATTCAACAGGGATCTTTCCATGCCATTTTATGTTTCTTTTAGAGCAATGGTAAGTTGTCTCTCCTTAGTGACATCCATGAAATGATTGCAAAGGCTTCTGGAAATAAGTCCTGTTCATTCATACTCCTGCTAGCTTGGTGACTGTTTCTACCTGAGTTATTTGACCTCTGTATCCCTACCAAAAGAAATGGAAAAAAAAAGAATCTTCTGTGATCTTCTACACATCCAGTTGCTGTAAATCGGGATGTGAAAGCACACTGAGGTCCACAGGAAAGACTCAGACTGTTTGTAGTGAACACTGAGAGCTGATTCCACAAAAGTGTTCTGAAAGTTTTACAGCATCATTGCATTGATTTTCCACTCACGGTGGAAAGTGAATAATGGTTCTAAAAATGTGCCTGTGTTTTGAAGGAAGAAAAAAGGCAATTCAAACCAAGTTATAAATGCTACATGATATAATTGTAACAAATATATTTGTCTAGACTTTTCTTGCTGAAACAGATTATTGGACCAGTGTTTTCACTCTGACTATTTTCTTTTCCATTTTGCCAGCTCCTTCCCCATTGTAATAGTTAGTTCTGATGCTGGCATAAAAATTTTGTTCAACCTATAGGTTGCAATGCTGACAAGCATGACCATCGAGTTCAATCATAAAATTCAAAACCTTGTTGAAAGCACAGATACATAGGGACAGGAAGAAGTAGACTGGATGCATGAAACTTTCACTTTCATGTGCATTTATGCCTTAATTAGCTTCACTGAATTACCGTCAGAATCTGCTACTTTTTTGCCCAGAGGTTTGTGTTTCACTATTTAATGGTAAAGGGCTCACCTTTTTTCTCAGGAATGAGAAACTTGTTTTCTCAGCTTGTCCAAATCCTACTAGTTAAAAGAGAGGGGTTGGAATTGAAGTCATCACTTTCACAGTGAGTAGAACTCACTAAAGCCCCAGTGGTTACCTGGGCAAATCCCTTTATATCTAAGCCATGTAGTTCTAGAAAATAAGCTTACTCAGAGCAGTCAGTTGTCCATTTAAAATCCAGTTCTTTAAAAGGGAAAGCAAATTCTAATTTGTGATCTGTAAAACAATTGGAAATACAAATTTGCAGCATTTTGCTTGTAAAACACTCTAAGTAATTTCAGGTTTGGTTAAGTAATTACATAAGAAGGGGTGGTTTTTTTAATGGAAGTAGCTTGATGAATATAAGCGCAGGAGTAGGAGCCAGGCTCCTCTAATTTTGTAATGTTTTTCCACAGGATCCTCTGTGGCCGTTGGCAAGTCACTAGAACTGTGTTGTTGTTAAAATAGCATTAACACTTACCTACCTCACAGGGATGTTGTGAGGATTAGCTTATGCCTATAAAATGCATTGAGGATCTGAGATGTTATGTAAATATTATATACTTTAATTTTAGTTTTGTGAGGTGTAAGATTTACTGTAATGAAAACAGAAGATTTTCATAATTGTAAAGCCCAGTAGAGGCAGCAGTGGTACAGTATTCCCAGGACTGATCTACTGCAGTACAGTAATGCTTGCTGTAAATTCTCATTATTTCAATTACAGCTGATTGAAATGGCGGCTTCTTCTTAAATAAGGTGAGATTTGCCACCAGTGTGCCTCGGTTCTGATCTACAAAGGGAGAGGACAGACATTGGTTATTAAGGCTTTGGTGCCTCTGCTTATGACAAGTGCTGCTTGTGGTGGTAGGGTTTTTTGTTTGGTTTACTTTGGGGTTTTTTATATTTTTCTGCAAGGAACAAACACTGCTCATTTCTCCCATGTCTGTTCCAGTCACTAAGTACAACCAAAGCCTAATGATAACAATTAAAACTTAAAGAGCCAGCCCTGCTCCCCCATAATTTTGCATTTGAGTAGATTGTGCTCTGTTTTCAGTAAATTAATGTTTTTTAGCACTGATCATGAATCAAATCATGAAGTGTGTTTTGCTCTAGAGCCTCAAGTTCTCACCTATCTTATAAAACCCTTTTTTCAATATGAGATTTCCTGGGGCTCTAGAAACAGAAGTAAGATATCTCTGGCTTTCCCTTCTCTTCAGTGAATTAAAATTGATTCTGCTTTTCCATTTTTTCCCATTCCCTACCCTGCTTTTCCTGTCTTTTTAAGCTGTTCTTAAGCAGATTTGGAAGGCCCTTCCAACCTCAAGAGGAAGATAATACTACCCATGTAATTTTCCAATCTGTTACAGCTTGATACTTGAAATTGATAAAAAACCTCTCTAATAGCATTCACCACACATTTCAATCTCCCATTAAACCATTCTGGAGTTTTTAATTAGGAAAAAAAATATAATATTTGTTCTCTTTGTGCAAAATAAGAAACCTCCATGCAGTGAACATGCAGTTTTTAAGGCAATAAATGCTAGTACTGCTGTTGGTCAAGTGTGTAAATATTTTAAATGTCATTCAATACTGTGTTGAGTTTATATATTAAAAAACACAGGGATTGAAGTGCTAGTTGATTTCAAGTATTGTTTTATCTGTACAGTTGAAGATATGAAGTTGCATAGAAATATTTCACAGTTTATTGCAATAAGACTTGGGAAATGGCTGTGTAATCGAGCCTTATCATGACTGAATTTTCAACTTTGAAATGATGACTCTGTGTATTTTTAAGATCCATAAGCAGGAAGAGGATAAAATTGTTTTCCACTAAAGATTTTTTTTTATTTTGTTTTGGCCATGTGTGATTTGTGTGTATTCTTGTTTAATGTTTTTCTAAAATCTCACCTGTACTGAATCCCTGAAAAAGCATTTGTTATACTTCCTTACAGTGGAAACATAAACAGCAACATTATGAAACCTTAGGCTACACCTTTTCCTCTTTGGCTACAGTGAATA